TTTCCTATATCCTGCCCAGTCCTGCAGCTGCTCAGACCCAAATAAAAACAGAGCAGAGGCTTATATTATTTATGAATTGCATGGCAACAGCCTAATTAATCTTCTCATGCTGCAAAGTTTTTCAGTTTTTATACACACACAAAACAAAGGCTATTCTCTGGTAACCACAAAGTTACAGAGCTAGAATTTTTTCTCACAAGTAAGAAACAGATAAGAATTATCCTTAATGACACCATCAGCAATTTTTGTCCCAGGGTAGTGTGGCCAGAAAGCTGCCTGGGCAGCATTAAGAGTCAGAAAAGCTGATTTATGAGGCTTTAAATTTTAAGAAGAGAGAAGTGGAGTTCATGCATGATACTACATTCTTAAGTTAAAATCCTGTATTAATAAACCGAGGTGAGAGTAGATGTAGGCAATTAATAGATTTTAGGGTAGAGCTGGGGGTTAGAACTTCCCAAGTTGTCTGTGGGAGAATTTAGGGTGCTTATACTCCCTAATCAGGAGGGACTAGAATCAAATGAGCTTGGGTGTCCCTTTATCTCTGAAGGTCCCAAATGTGATCTATTTGAAAGACTCCCTTTCTGACCACATGTCTTGTCAAATGGGAGATAATCATGGGGAGCCACCTTTTTTTTTTTTTTGGTTTTTCGAGACAGGGTTTCTCTGTGTAGCTTTGCGCCTTTTCCTGGAACTCACTTGGTAGTCCAGGCTGGCCTCGAACTCACAGTGATCCGCCTGGCTCTGCCTCCCGAGTGCTGGGGAGCCACCTTTTAATGTTTGTCTCAGAGTATGGAACCAATGTTGGGAACAGAGTGGAGATTAGGTGGTGGGAACCAATGTTGTTGACTATGTAACTAGATTCTCTTGCTGAAGGTGGAAGTCATCAGCATATGGGAGAAATTGTGCCCAGTAATTTATACACTGCTGGATCTTTTTTGGGGGGAATTGGGTCCAACTCAAAGAGAGGAGAGCTTTGGTTTGACAAGAGATTCGCTGTAAGAACAGGCATAATACAAAAGGCAGTACTCCTTGGAGGATGGGTCTCCTTCATCAGAATGCATTAATTCTGGTGAGTTGCTTCTGCTTTATCAACTGAAATCCTACTGTATAGTCCTGCAGACTATAGCAATTATTACATGGTGAGGGGACTTCTTTTTTTGGCCCAGTCAATTTGGTGTTCTGTAAGCTTCTTATATCTTCAGAGGTATGTCTTTCTTTAGGTTGAGAAAGTTTTCTTTTATGATTTTTTGGATACATTTTTCTGTGACTTTGAGCTGGAATTCTTCTCCTTCTTCGATCCCCATTATGCTTAGGTTTGGTCTTTTCATGGTATCCCAGATTTCTTGTATGTTTTGTGTTAAGAATTTATTGGATTTAACATTTTTTTGATTGATGAATCTATTTCCTCTATCATATCTTCAACACCAGAGATTTTCTCTTTTATCTCTTGTATTCTGTTGGTTATACTTGCATCTGTAGTTCCTGTTTGTTTACCCAGATTTTCCATTTCCAGAATTTCCTCAGTTTGTGTTTTCTTTATTGCCTTTGTTTTAATTTTAAAGTCTTCTTCCAATTTTTTGTTCGTCTTTTCCTCAATTTCTTTAAGACAATTTTTCATTTCCTCTTTATGGGCCTCTATCATCTTCATAAAGTTATTTTTAAGATCATTTTCTTCTGCTTCATTTGTGTTGGGATATTCAGGTCTTACTGTTGTAGAGACATTAGGTTCTGGTGGTTCCATATTGCTCTTTATGTTGTTGAATGTATTCTTATACTGCTGTTTACCCATCTGGGCTTGAGATAATTATAGGCATAACCATTGATTCTTCAGATGTCTTGGTTGGATGAGTCTTTTGTTCCTTTATTGCCTGTTTCCTTTATTATCTTTTGGCCTGAATAGCCAAGGGTTCTGGTGATTGGCTGGTTGTCAGTTCAAGTAGGGTTGTCTCAGCTGAGGTTTATGGGGGTTTGGTGTATTGTCCAGTTCTTCTGGCTAGTATGGGCTTTACTTGTGCCTATGGTGTCTGTTCTTCCAACTGGTGTAGGTTGTGCCTGTGGTTTGGAGTCTGTTCTTCCAAGTGGTGTAGGTTTTGCATGTACCTGTTTTTCCAAATGATATGGTGGCACTTGTGCCTACAGGGTCTGCTGATGTTGTTGGAGGGGGCTGTTCATGGGGAGGCTGCTGTTCTTCCAATTGGTGCAGGTGGTGCTTGTGCCTCTAGGGACTGCTGAGGTTGTGGGGTATGGTTGGCCAGGGGGAGGATGATGGCATTCACCCAAGAGATTCCCTCCAGTGGGAGGGAATATCTGCATTGATACCCTTTGCTCCCAGGTACCCAATTCCTGAACATCCCTCATGGCGTTCTAGCTTCTGAATGCTGTCCTAACAGAGGCAGGTACATAGAATGGTCCTGGACTGGCTACTAACAACTGAAGGAGGAACAGAACAGTTCTAGACAGGGCAGGGAGAAGAGAAGTAGAAGAGAGATGACAAGGAGAGAGAGAGGCGGGAGGAAGCTGCTAGAAGGTTATAAAGAGTCTACAGTCATACCACCCTGAATACACCAGGCCGCATCTAATCCTGGAAACCAATCAGGTTAGTAGTTGGATGGGAGAAGGCTGTAAGGAGCCAGAGAAGAAAAACTGAAATTTCTGGTTACCAGGAAATTTCCAGAGAGCTTCAAACTTCCAAAGTCAAGGTTCTTAGTGCCCAGGTGAGCCTTAACTGTGGCTACTGCCAAGGGCAAAGAATATTGATATTCAAGGCTTCTACAGGGGACTGTGATACTTGTCAAGCTAAGGTTCCTGATACCTTAGGCCTGCACAGGGGACTATAACACTTGTAAGGCTAAGGGTCTTGATATCCAAAGGCTACATGGGGAACTGTGGCACTTATAGGATCAATGATCGTGAGACTGGCACAAAATCTGTGACATTAAAGCTGCTTCCACCTGCTGCTCAGTGGCAGCTCACTGTCAGACACTGAGAACAATGGAAGTTGCTGAAGAGCAACATTTGAAGAATCTCTAGTCTCTCCAAGATTTCTACCCAGGTGAAGCAGAAAGACCCTCAGTCAATTGACTTAGTTACAGCTATGATTGCCAGCCCAGAGAAAAGCATAGATTAAGCATGTAAATCTGAGGCCTCTTTTTCCTGCTTGGGAGGACACAGAAAACATGATTAGATCTAGCTGTCCTTTTGGGGAAGAAAAGGAGAGAGAGCAGACATTTATTAAAAAAAAAAAGAAAGCAGTCTCCAAAGAGAATTAGATTCATTTACACGAGAGGAGTGAACTCAATTCTTATTACCCTCAGCAGGTGGGTGCTAATGAGGAAAATTAAATTGTTACAGACAAAATAAAGAAGCTAATTTTTTTCCCTGCACATTTGTGTGGGGTGAGAAAAGCTTTGGAAACCTCTGCTGCATGCATGCATGTGTGTGTGTGTGTGTGTGTGTGTGTGTGAGAGAGAGAGAGAGAGAGAGAGAGAGAGAGGGGCAGAGGGGGAGAGCGAGAGAGAGAATAGGAAAGATAGGTAAGGAAAAGTTTTATCTGAAAATGTAGAGAAAGTATTGTCAGGAAAGGGAAACCATGGAGCATACGTTTGGGTGGTTCTGGCAAACAGTGGCCAGTGATCTCAATCCTAATCTGCTTCCATATTTTTGGGCGTGCCATAAAATATGAGTGAGTGACAAAGATTTCCAAAGAGATTGTTGAAGAGCTCAGAAGCAAGAGACATAAGCACATGCACATCCAGACTGTCTGTAGTGCATAAATATGAAGAGAAGGAGTCAGGGGTAGGCTAATAAAGGTAAAGAGGGGGCTAAGCTGGAAGTGTGGCACAGAGTTACATTGTGTTCCAGAGGACATAGGGACCTACATGTGCATGTTGTTCTCATTACACTTCTGTTGACACCCCTCAATGACTTCTCTGGACAATAGCTTCATGTTTTAGATGTCAAAAAACAATCTCAGGTGTACTGTGGAAAAGGAAGTCCCAGGTCACATAAGTTTGGAAAATGTCCTGTGCTGTAGGTTGTGTGATGGTTTGTATGAGAATGGCTGCCATAGGTTCATATGTTTGAATGCTTGGTTCCCAGTTGGTAGAAGTAGTGTTTAGCCTTGTCACCTTGTTGGAGATCTGATACTGGCAGTGTCACTGTGAAGTTTCAAAAGCCCACACCATTCCTCCCCTCTCTCTCCCTCCCTCTGTTTTGTGGTTGTTGTTTCAAAATGCAAGCTCTCAGCTACTGCTCTAGCACCATGCCTATTTGCCTGCCGCCATACTCCCTTCCATGATGGTCATACACTCACCCTTTGACACTGTAAGCAAGCCCCACTTTGAATGTTTTGTAAGTTGTCTTAGTCATTGTGTTTCTTCACAGAAATAGGAAAGTAATTGAGACAGGTTAGATCTGGTCTGAGTCTGCTGCCAGGGCCTGCTGTGATTAAAGGCTTGATACTCAGGGTGGTGCTATTTGGGAGGTAGTGCGGCCTTTATGGGGTGAGGCCTAGTGAGAGGTCTTTGGATTTTGGGTGGCCTATTCCTCTACAATCTGCCGTTTGCCATGGGGCCCTTGCCAGAACTGAGCATTCCTATTCTCTCCAAACTATGAGCTCAAGCAAACTTTTTTTCCCTGTTTGTACTCCATGTCAGGAACTTTGCTGTTGTGATAAAAGGCTGAATGGTAAGTCTCACACCAAATGCTGTAGCACCCAATTAATAGAGACTCACGATATATGTTTGCATTTTAGAAACTCTAAAAAGTTCTGTTGTAAAAAATCTGGGTCATTGATTTCTTAACACAGCAAGTTTTCAACAGTGATCTATGGAGCACTTTTTAAAAAAAGAATAATTTAAACTAACCTAAAAGTAGTGTTTTGATTTTCCTATTTACAGTGCCCCAATACAATGTGGTTGTATGAGAACTATAAATTCTTCCTGACCTGGTCTTGTCTGTGAAATAAACTTTCTCAGCATTTTCTGATCGGTTGCATTCCTTTAGACTCACCAGATTCCTCCTTTTTTACATATCAGGGAAGAATTAGTTATTCTGTTTGTCTTCTCTGATGAACCCTTTATAGTATATATTTATGGTGGTTAGATTTCCACTGTTCTTTGAGTCCCTTAAGAGTAGAATAAACTGATAAGAACAGATACTACACTTGATCTTAGCCAAAAGGCCGAGAAGCGATCTCATCCAACTACTGAGGGATCTGGATGCAGAGATCCATGGCTAGGCCCCGGGTGGATCTCTGGGAGTCCAATTAGCGAGAATGAGGAGGGTTTATATGAGCGAGAATTGTTGAGACCAAAGTTGGATAAAGCACAGGGACAAATAGCCAAATGAATGGAAACACATGAACTATGAACCAATGGCTGAGGGGTCACCAACTGGATCAGGCTTTCTGAATGGATGAGACAGTTGATTGGCTTGATCTGTTTGGGAGGCATCCAGGCAGTGGGACCGGGTCCTGTGCTCATTGCATGAGTCGGCTGTTTGAAACCTGGGGCCTATGCAGGATCGCTTGGCTCGGCCTGGGAGGAAGGGACTGGACCTACCTGGACTGAGTCTACCAGGTTGATCTCAGTCTGTGGGGAAGGCTTTGCCCGGGAGGAGGTGGGAATGGGGGTTGGGCTGGGGGGAAGGTGAGGGGGGTGGGAGGGGGGAGAACAAGGGAATCCATGGCTGATATGTAGAATTGAATTGTATTGCAAAAACAAAACAAAACAAAACAAAACAAAAACTCATTTTAGAAAAAAATTGCAAATTTAAAAAAAAGAGTAGAATAAATACTTCACTAATTTCTGTTTTTCTGTCATCTAAGCAAAGTGTCTAGCACACAGCAACAACTTAGTTTATGTATGGGAGACCACTCCCACTTTTACCCGAGGGTACTCTTGAGGAGAGAGAAGTGATAAATATTTAGATAGAAGGATGGAGGGGAGAGGAACAGATAGAAACACAGGATAGCTAGGGAGGGCCTGGATCCTTATCCACCAGCCCCTTCCATCTCTTCTAAAGGGCTTTTTAAAGGAATGCCAAGGGGCAGGGCAAAAGACCCCCCTTTGCTAGATCAAAGCATACCCTTCCAAACACCTGGTAACTATGCCCGTGGTCCAGCAATCCTCTGATGCAGCTCTGCTGGGTAAAGCAAGCTCAGATCTCTAGGAAATCTTTGTGGACCTCCACACTTGTGTTGAATAACTAGATGTCTATAAATAATGATAGTAGAGGAGAGATAGATTTGAGTAGACAAGACCAGAAATAAGAAGATGCAAGGCAAGCCAATGTGGTTGTTAGAGAGAATCTGGGTTGTGATAAGGTAGTAAGAATGGGTACACAAAAAGGGCAGGGTTAAGATTTACTGACCATTTGTCTTGTGTCAGGCACTGGGCAAGCAGCTATCCATCTTGTCTTATCCTCACACATAACTTTATCGGGTAGGTCATGGCGTAAGTTACATCATCCTAGCTAAGGAGCCTCTGAGGGCTTGCTTGTGAGCTGCTCCTTCTTTAAAGCTTCATTTGCAGATGTGTCCCCCTTTGTCTAGAGTTGAGCTGATTGAGGAAGATCACAAGTTTCCCAGGCAGCCACCCACAGGCTGATGGTACGTGGTCTATAAGAACTGGGCCTCAGGTTCTGTCCTGATTACTTCCGAGGCAGTAATTCTGTCTGAGTCTTCCTCTTGGGCACCTTAAAGATGAAAGAAACAAGCAGGATGCAGTGAGTAGTGGAGTAGCAAAGAAGAGACACATCCACAGGAAAGGTAAAGGACAGAGAGTGATAAAGCAGGCACTTAGCAGGAGTCACTACATGGAGAGTAGGAGAAGGCAGTTGTGTAGGACATACTGAAGTGGACAGAAAACAGGAATCGGAGGAAGAAGGAGCCTGTCACTGTATCGACAGAGTCATTAGGACAAATTTAGTGAATGCTTGGTTTTGAGGGGTGAGTCTGAGTCGATGGACATCAGAGCACCATCACCATTGTCCTGGCTATCTGAATGGGGACTGAGGAGGTCCTCTTTTCTTTCTGCATCTCCTTTTCCATCTGCTTATCTTTATTACACCCTATAAAATGATTTGTAAGATTCTGAGCTAATCAGAACATCCCCTGCTCTCTTGAACCTGAGACAGCCAGCACTGTTCTGAGTTTTGCAGGGGAGATAACCTGGGCTCAGAGACACTAGGTTTTTTTTCTCAAGCTTATAAAACTAGTAAGCAGGGAGTGGAGTCAGAGCAGAAGCTAGATTTGCCCAACTCAGAGCTGATATTAAATCTCTCTCAATATAAAGCTTCCTCCATCTGGGATGAGAAGAGCAGATTCAAGGAACACTGTAGAATTAGCATACATGGTGCTTGGTGACCTAGTAACTGCTTCATTTGCATTTCATTAAACAAAAGGTCTTGGCGCTTTCTTTTTCCACTTCTCTCACATTTTTCATTTTATAAGCCTCCATTTGCACTGTAGGAAGGTGACACAGAATCACAGATCCGAGGGCTGGATGCTGTTGGCTTTATGTCTTTTTTGTTCTTTTTGAAACATTGCTGAGAACACTTGTCCTTTGCTGTCGTTCAACAGCAGAGATGTAAACACGGTTGCTTCCTAATATGTGGTACTTGGGAGAGGACAAGGTTTACAGCTATTGAGTAGTCTAGACGTTATGGAGTGTGGGACCCCTAGGAAAAGACCATACACTCAGCCCACTATAATGAAAAGATTTATCGATTAGCTGCTAGCAGGAGGAACAATCAATGAGCCAAATTTGATATTGCTGTAAAGGAAGGGGTACGGGGAAGGATTTCTAAAGTGGAAAACCGCAAGAAGACCTTCAGTATCTACTCAAGCAAGCAAAAACTGGTCTGATCGGCCAAGTTTAAGTAGTTAAGGTTACTCTAAACAATCTTTGGATGAGCAAGTTACAGAAGCCAAAAAGACAGTCCTATCATGACAAGTAGATGGTTACAGCTGTATATTTCTAGGTGTGTGTGTGTGGGGGGGTGGTCACTAAGTCAGGGTTACTGATAACTTACCTTTCAGGGACTGGAATCAGACACAACTGGCTAGTGGGTACTAAGATGGATGTCTAACATAAAATGTGGTTTCTTTAGCCATCACGTTCTCAACTGGCTCTGGATCATATGAATCAAATCATTGAGTCACATTTATGTAGGGCTAAAGGTTGATATCTTAATTTAACCATCTAATCAGATCCCAGCTCCCATCTTGAGTAACCCTTTTTGTAACTCTGTGATTTTTAACAGGTGTTTGTATTACTGAGGGAAACTGGAGGCCAGCATAAGCTCTCCTATGTGAGTAGGCATCATAAATAGCTATTTGTCCTTTTGCCAGAGAGAGGAGAAGTAGCCCCTTTTTGGTAGAGGGAAACTAGTTTCCTTTGGACCTAATGTTCCAGTCTTTTGTTAATGATAAGTGCTGTAGTCTCTTCTGTAACTGCTTCCCAGCTGAAAAAGGATGGTGCTGTCAAGCCTACCAAGGTTGGAATGCCTGTAAAAGCCTGGGAAAAGACAGGGTCCATCTGGTTTGCTGTCTAGGTTCTGGTGGACCACTGGGGTCTAGGGAAGTGCAGGTAGCTTTGGAGCTTTCAGGAATCCTCATCTGAAGCTGGGGCTCTAGCTGTTAGGAAATTTTGTCAGAAGCGTCTGGTTCATGTTGGCTTTTAGCAAGGCCAGGGCCTGTTAGTTTCAAAGGTTCACCTGAGGCCGGTGTGTTTGGAGAAGTTTACAGTCTTCAGTTTCTTGGAAATCTGATGGGACAAATATAAACTAGAAATAGAAGATAAAATTAAGGAACTTAGTGGAAAACTTTTTTTTTTTCAAAGCAAGTGTTCTTTTGTCCTGAATTGAAAAACCTCTATTAGTAACTTCCAGATCTGGGAAAAAAAGAGTGGCAATTCTCTGCTAGTGTCCAGTGTTATCATAATTCAGGAGGAGTTGTTTGTGCCTCCTCCTTTGGAGGAGACATTAGGGCTGCCACTAGGAGCTGACAGTTTTGTATACCATGGGAAGCTTTCTTTAATTAAACATTTTAAATGTCACCATTAGCAGAACTCTTAGGAGTCTGAGGGCCAATATTTAATTTATTAAGTATACTTGATTTTAAACAAACTTTGTTTTTAGTGATTTGCTTCAGGGTTAACCTTGAGAACATACACAGAAAGCTAATTAAAGCTTATCCTGAAAATTAATTACATTTATACTTACCATGATTAGCCCACAGAGAGATTGGAACCTTATTTTTTTCATTATTTTACTAACATTTTCATCCTTTTATTTTGCACCATTACAGAACACCACAGTTTCTTGTATGACTCAGTTTACCCAAATAGCTAAAGCTTAATCAATTCAGCAAAGACAAAGAGGCTATACATGTATCTTTTAGTCAGTTATTGTTATCTGAGTGGACCTTAGGAATTGATAAACCTTATTTATCAAATATATTTTATTTATTAAACATATATAGTATTTTTATGTAAAATTTCTAAGACAAAAATCATCATATAAAAAAATCTATCCTGATTCAAAATTGATTCAAAATACCTTGGAGACCCGTTGCTGCCTTCTTAGTCTAAAAGTGAGATAACAAGAGTTGATTTAAAGTTACATATAAGTATGTAGTAGCAAATTAAGCTTTTTAATATTAGCCTTTTTAAAAATTTTTTTTGTTTTATATGCATTGGTGTTTTACCTACATGTATATCTGTGTGAGGATGCCAGATCCCCTGGAACTGGAGCCATACACAGTTGTGAGCTGCCACATGGTTGCTGGGAATTGAACTCAGGTCTTCTGGAAGAGCAATGGGTGCTCTTACCCTCTGAGCCATCTCTCCAGCTCTTTGTTGTTGTTTTAAGTTTTAAGCTAACTTTTTTTGCTTTTAATTTTAGAGCCTCCCTACCCCCACAATGGTCCTACAGATGCTGAGAGAAAGAAATTTACATTTCAGCAAGAGTTTTGAATATTCATGACCTTGACTAGGGGAACATTTTTTATAAACAAGAACCAAGGAAGAGGGAAGAAGTCAAAGAGCTAGACATCTGTGATTACATTTAGCTATCTTAATTTTATATGAATACCTTTTGATTAAAATATTTAAAAACATGAGACATAACAGCAACAAATAAATTTACCATTTGTTGTAAAAAAATTTTTCTTACAGTGCTAGATGATATCTG